AACATTTTACTTTTATTTAAGGTCATTTAATATCAGAAATATTTGGGGAGAAAATGTTCCAGTACTTTGACTGTGTTATTTATTGTTCAGGTAGATCTCACATGATTGTGTGTGTGTGTGATCTACATGACCAATGAACAACCAACATAAAAATCAAAGTAACAGAACATCCTCTTCCATAACTTATTTCCGAAGCAAAACATGTTAAATTTATAAATGTTTTCTATTTGTTCTTTATTTTATCATTCAGTTGGTTTTAATCCATATTTGGTTCCAATTAATGTGTGTGTGCACACATATATAAACACACACACACAGTGATTGAGAAGAAAACTGGAGGCAACAAAAATGTAGTACTACAGAAGAATACAAATTCCATGGACTGAGTGAGTAAGCAACAATACTTAATGGCCACAAAAAAGAACACTTATGCTCAGAATCAGGAAGAGAGAGTTTGGACACATGAGGAAGGAGTGCCTGGAAACCTAACCCTCATGGGGCATATTGAGGCTAAGAGAGACAGATGAAGGCAGCAAGCCTGATGAACTTGTGTGAATGGACAGTAGAACAGCAACTGGATCCCTAACAAAGAGAGAAAACTAAGGACTACAAGGGATAGAAAGCTTTGGAGAGTCATAATCACCGATGTCCTGAAGGAACGCAGCACACAGAAGAAAATAATGGATTAAATGAATAGATTAGTATACGCAAGGTCAAAATGGTTGTGCCACAATCTTAATCTGCGCAGAGCAATTACTGAAAAGAAAATTATACAAGAAATTTTACAAAAGATAAAAATAAAGATGTAAATACATTAGCATACATTTATAAAAATAATCTAACAATGTGATGACTGTGCAAGCATGAGAAGAGTTTTTGTTCCCCATAAATTTCAAGTTTACATTATGTACCTCCACAGACTTACTTAAAAAATATAGTGAAAAAATAAAATTCATTATTCATCAAAAGATTTTTTCTCTTAAGACAATACTATCAATAATATAACTGATTTATAAAAGCAATTAAAAGCTTTTCAAATTAAATAATATCTTAGTTTTACTAAATTTTTTATTTTACAATTCAGAGCATATTTTTAGTAATGGGGGGGAGGGTCTTGTGCATAATTAATATAAGCATTAAGCAGTACAAAATTTAATTTCTTGAAATTTCATAAAATTAAATAAGTTTTAACAGATGAAATAAAAAAGTTTTACCAAGATTTTCGAAAAAAAGAATCATTTTTAGAATAATAAATTAACCAAAAAAGTCCTTGCTGTTTGTTTTTATGTTGTGTGGGAAGAAGTAATCACTGATACACAAATGAGTGCATCACATACCAGGAAAGCAGTGGGGGTCATTGCACTTGACCAATGCAGATACATTGTAGACACACAGCTCAAGCAGCAGCAATGAAACATGCCGGTGTTAAAGCAGTTTGTTTGGGCTTGTCTGCTTTATGACTTTAAGGTGAGCTTGTCTGCTGCCACATCAAGTTGCCAAATATGTCAAGCTTTTTGGGATGATGCTGTGAGTGAATGCTCTGCCAGTCATTGGTTCCAGGTCAGGTCAGGAGATCTGTCCTTATGTGATGAACCACACAGTGGCTGGCCACAAATCCTGGATAAGGTCCTGAAGGTGACCATGGGAGGAGGACAGCCAAACCTGTTGTGTGCTTGCCAAAAGCTTCACCTCCACTGCATAGGAAAGGCATACAAATTGAGCAGGTGGATATCCCAAACATTGATGGAAGGCAACAAGCAAGAACCTGTTTCTCATTGCTTTCTCAGAACCACAATGTACTCATATTTGATCAAGTGCTCACCAATGATAAAAAGTGTGTTCTGTATGATATGCCAGACACAGGACCCCTATGCCTCACACAAGAACACCTCTACAACAACATAAAGATCATGCTCTGCATCTGGTGGACAAGTTGACAAGTGGTGTAATATGAGCTGCTACCAAACCATCACTGCAGACCTGTATTTGCAGCAGTTGGAATGTGTGCAACTCATTGAAGAAGAAGAAGCCAGCATTGGTTCATCACAATAGCATGTGGGATACCATACTATCGATTTGGCTGCAATGCACCTTACTCCCCAGACCTTGCGCCAACAAATTACCACCTCTTCCATTCCCTGGACAACCACCTTCATGGAGAAATCCTTTGCATCCAGAACCTTTTAACAAAGGTTCTGGATGGTGATGGGGATTACTTTGAGGATTAATGGTATATCAAATTTACTGTATACATTTTTTTTTCTAATAAATCTAAAAGAGCAAGGACTTTTTAGATTATCTTGTAAGTTTGGGGTATTTTTTCATCATGGCATACTCATTTTTTTCTCCACCCCACCCACTCCCGAATCAGCGGATCTATTTTTTGTTACTGTGAAAACAAAAACAGTATGTTTTATTAAATTAGGTATCAGCAACTCTCCACAAAATTTCTTAAAGTTTTCTTGAATTATTTTAAGATTTCGGGCCATATTTTTATATGTTCACACTCGATATTAAACTTCTTTTTTTAATGATAACCTCTTCGGGGATTTAACTTTACAAAAATGTAAAAATTAGGAACATCCAAAATTCACTTGTACTGACCAGAATAGATAAAAACAAAACAGATTCACTATAAAATTAATTACTAAATAAATGCTTAAATGAAATCTGACAATTCCGTGATTAAAAGAGATATCGTTTCGCTATTTATGTTTTTCACGTGTCGAAAGTGCGCATAATTTTGGAGGTACCTCGTTTTTACATTCAACGGTTGAAGTAAAGAAACAATTACATTTACAAGTATGAAGTATACAAATCCGAGTAATAGAGGGTATACGAGAAAGGCTTTGTGGAGAGGGAAAAGAAAGCTTGCAGATGGGTATCAAATTCTGTTTTATTGTAAAAAAAAAAAAAAAAAAAACAGTGAATCATTCCTTGCTACTCTGGCGATGACAATAAATATGCATATAAACAAAATAACAATTTATGACGAAAGCACATTTATTTATGACATCAGCACTACGTCACCATATTCCACATGGGAGCACTTCCAACACCACCACTTCTGACAAATACTCTTCTCTTTATATTGTCAAATAAATATTTTAGATCAAATTCTTAGTCACTGTTGTTTAAAGAAATATATAGGGAATTGAAAGTTTTTTTTTTCCTAATGACATTAAAATATTTATGAATACTTCATTAAAACTAAAAGTCAGCAGGCATTGTAAACATATACTTTTGAGTTTTTTTGTGCAACTAATTTTTAAAAATGTTGTATTTTCATACGACCCCACAAAAACACCTAATAACTTTTTAAATATCATCTCTAGTTATAAAAATATTTACGTTGTTTTTTTTAACACTTGACCTCGACAATGGTACTAAGTATGTATGTAGCATGTGTTCATGTAAAATTTAAATAAGAGTTTTTTAACGAAACATTTATTCGTGATTTTTAAATGACTAGATAGAATTAAAAAAAAATAAAAAGAAAGAAACAAGTTCACATACGATTACTTTTTAAAGCTGGAAAGAAATAAGCAAATCGTGAAACTCTGCAAATGACCCATACTTTTTCCAAAAGAAAATTTTAAGCTATTATTAATTTCTTCGAATTTTCTTAATATTGCTGATGTTATACATTTTTCAGTCTCTGAACTTGAAAACAAAGAACATAAATTAACTGTGATATTTTGATTCCTTAAGCAAATTTAAAAGCAATGGTTAACTTAAAAAACCCTAGTTAAATTTAAAAGCGACAAGTGACCTATTTTTATTAGATTACCTTAAGGCTTAGACCCTAGATATGTGGTACATCGTAAAACACTTAGTAATTCCCTAAAACAATTCGCTGATGTTGTACATTATTGTGTATTTGCTATTTCAAAAAAAAAAAAAAAAAAAAAAAAAAAATGGCGGGGTAATAAATATCACAAAAACAGATTTTCTATTTCTTATACGCCATCGGGCTACACAATATTGCATTTTCAATAACATATGCGCTAAAAATGTAAATAAAAGGGTTTGACACATAAGGTGGATAAAATTCAATAATTTCAATTAGGTTAGATTTGCCGCGTGAGTAAAAAAGTAGTATTTAATTAAAAAAACTAAAAAGTCTTGTATCTCTCTAGTAGCTGCTCATACACACCGATTCTCTAAAAACAATAGTTTTACGTCTTTTAGACCATAAAACAGTTCAAATAAAAATGTCTTTAAAGACAAAAAACATTTAAATTTATATATAATTTGTTTAAGTAAAAATTTTTCAAATCAAAACTTACAATATTCATAAAATTGTAAATAAAAATGGAACGAAATAGGTTAGAAATGGAAAACTACTCAGTTCATTTTTTTTTCGGGGAAAATAAAGCTACTCAGTTTCATGTTTTCAGAAATAATGATCGTGCTAAAAGTCATTGATACAAGACAAGAACAAGCTCGTCAACCCAAAGAAAACAAATTTTACTTCAGAATAATTTGAACGTTTTTAGTTTTATTTTAAGTAAACAAAGCCATTTCGGAAAATAATCCCATGTAAATTTACTGACAGTAAGAAAGCTAACACCAGCACAAAAAATAATGCAACTGAGTGAAAGAGAAATCTAATACAAATTTTATTACAAATGAAAAAAAGAAAAAGAAATATTTTATTTACAACTGCAATAACATTTGTGACAAAAATAATGGTTTTTATATTAAACTCAATTTACGATATTTAAGTGTTTAAGTAACCTTATTCAATTACACATCTACTTTCCTAACAGGTTGGTTGCGACCATCACGGTCAACTCTGAAATTTGTCTTTTATGATTGCCTACATTTATTTTTCATCAAATTTTAGATTTACACAATGTTACAAAAGAAAGGTACTTAGTTATCTTTACTAGTACAAAATTCTACAGAATTTATTAAAAGTACCAAGTGGTCTATGCAGGATTGCAAACTAAACGCAAAAACAAGAAGACGGTAGCAGACTGGCAGCAACACCTTACCTTCAAGTCGTTTTGTAGGCATTCTAATACTTCAAAATTGTTGTCATATGTATTCTTACTACAAAACCGTTTAACCTCTTTTTCACATTCTGGTGAGTCTGAAATCTTTGGCATAGAAATCCGCTTCCTAGAACTACCATGTGAAGATCGTGCTTTTTGTTCGTCAGATAGTGCATAATTCATTTGATTATTTTCAAATTTGCGTGAGCCCAAATTTTTTGCAGGTAGTCCTGGATTTGAAGAATATTTCTGAACATGTTCAATTACTTGGGCTACTTTATGAAAAGGTTTATATTCAGAACGTATATCAGAAATGAACAGTAAAATTAAAATAACCACAAACTGTACACGTCTAAGGACCGCCATATTGTATCTGGACTACTTGTTACTAGTGATATTAATACACCCCTATAATCAACATACTTAGCCGCATCACCGCTTTAACATTTGATTCTCTTGATATCATATAGTTCGCAAAGTTTTTGTTTGTTGTTGTTTTTTAATAAACGAATTAGTGAAATTACATTGAAAAGAAATTCCAAGACGAAGTTAAGCATAAATCCTCAAAAAAATTAATAATCACTTATAAACTTTTTTCTTTTCAGAATGAATAAGAAAAGCTTGCTTTTTATAGCGTTTGTTGGGGGCATTTTCAATTCATTGTAGTCATTGATTTTTTTCTGTGCTGTGAAATTCATATCAGGAATTTCTTTTTATTAAATATGAAATTAAATGCTACACAAATTATAACACATGAAAAAAAAATTAGAAATCAGTTTGTGTGAAATGGTTGCTTTAAAAATATTTTTTGCGGAAAATCCTCTAAGTGAAGTTTTAAAAATAAAATTAGTTTATGCCAAAAAAAAATAAATTTTGACTTTCCCATGTTTTTCATATGCAAAGCAAAATATTTCAGGAATTCTAAACGCTAATAATCCATTGTTTTTGTTACATAACTAAAAAACTAAACTTAGAAACCTACATGATTTTTCGTCAACAACTGAAAATAATAAGTGAGATTTTTAACAATATATTGTGTCTAAATTAAGTTTTAAAAAAAAAGTAATAATTTTTAAATAAAACATTTAAAAATACAATTTTGAATAATTCATTTTTTTAAGAAAAGATTCATTTTAAAAGTTACCTTTTTGAAAACTCTAAAGTTTAAAGTAAAAATTATCAAAGGTGTTGGCTGTTCATTTTAAGAGCAAAAATTGAAAATATACGAACATCTGAATAAAAAATTTAAAATTAATGAAATGACAGTGACACTGTCGCGGTACGGGTTTGGTGAGTACGAAATAATAATAACCCTTTACCCATTTCCTTCAAATTCGGGTGAGCTGAGGAAAAAGACGGAAAGAAATTCAAGAGCGTAAGTAAAATTTTCTTTGGACCAATGAAAACTCTCTCTTCAGATAAATTAGCCGTTGAACCTAGAAAAAAGAAAATAATTAGCGAGCCTATGCGAAATCCTTATTTTTTTTATATGAAATAAGGAAAAAAATTTAAATCAAGCAGAAAAGAGTGTATGAAGTCATGTGAAAAGTTTCGTTTCTCTTCACGCGTCCAGCGTTCATATTTTCGCCAGTGTCAAATTACTCGCCAATTTATAAGCCTTTAACTTAACACTTAGCACGTCAAAGAACTTTATTTCAACAATCCAAGAAAGCCAAGTATTTCAAATTATCACTCTCTACGTCTACTTTTGAATAGATGCAACCACATAACCCTTATGAACAACGAACTCTCTTACTTTGTCTTAAACATTTTTAATATTATTTTGTGTCAGATCATTTTTAATCTGTTCATGTCAATTTGTTGAAACTACGGACTTTAACAATTTCTGATTTATTTTCCTGAAACGAGCTACTGTGACACAACTAACTTCAAGCGTGTAAATTCGTAAATAAAATTAAAATTCTTTATCTTGTTTTGTTAAAATTGCCCGTATGTTTCCTCATCGTTACCTTCCATCATTAATCTCCTTATCGTTGGTAAATCAAATGTTCATAACCCCGAAGTTTCACGCCACTATACCGCTACGAACTCCCCCATTCCACAAAAGAAAAAAACACATGAAAAACGCATTTTAAATAATTTAAACGTACTCTTTGAAGTTGAAGTTAAATTTTGGTTTTATTTGAAAGCAAAGTTCATCCGTATTATTATCTGTCTATATTTTTGAGATGAGGTATTGTAATTATTTACACTAATTACATTGTTCGGACTGTTGTCCTAATCTCTGTTACCATATTTACGACGTTTCCGGCCGTTGTACGCCCCAGCCTTCTTTAGGCGATTGGAATTTCGAACTGAACACTTTATTTCGTGAAGAACGCGTGGTCCAGTGGATAAAAGCATTGGTTGAATCCAATCACTTGTGAGTTCAATACCTGGCTACAGGTAGAGGTGAACAAAAACTTGGAGAGTTGAGTCAAAAGGGAGATAACTGATACTGAGAAATCCGGAAGAGGCATGGTACGTGGAACTAGAGCATTCTACCCCGCTGGAAAAAAAAGTTCCATTCGAAATTCCAATCACCTGAAACGTGGAACAACCGAAACGTCGTGAATATGGCAACAAAAGATGAGGACAACAATCCGAACAATGTAAATAGTGTAAATAATTCATCCATATTAAAAGAAAAATAAATTTTTGTATGTATTTTTTTTTAAATTAAAGAAACATTGGACACGAGCAATGCAATAATAAAGAAACTGATATTTATGTTTAAAGATAAATTATTTTTAACCTTATATAACCAAAAGTTTAAGAATACAATTTTTGTTATATATGTTTTTATGAAACTTAATGGAATTAATAATTTTATTTTTTATAGATGTATTTTTCAGTTAAATGATACCTCTGGGGTTAATAATCTTTTTTTTTTATTTTTTATTATTTTCTTAACTGTTTGATGCCATAAAATATTTAATTGCACTCAATGTGTTCTTTTTTAATTATGAATTTAAGTAGTTATTTAATATCATACTGTTCTGATAGGAAAGAGTATTCAGTTTCAATCATAGGCCGTGACTCAGAATTATTTTCTTTTTTGAACATCCATACTGAAGGGGAAAAAAAAATTACCCGTAAGCAGCTTAAAAAGAATTTCCACCGTTGTGATTGGCTGTTGGTCAATCTCCAATCAAACGTGAGATTACGGGGTATATTTATAAAAGTCTGCGCAAACAAGCATTTTTTTTTTAGAGGGTGTTTCAGAGTCTGATCAGCTCTGAAGGGGTCGATTTGGTGAGGTCAGTATGATGTTTGAAAGACCCGAAACTGTCCAATGATCCTTTTCTGGAAACTTTCGCTTTTAATAGAGATGTCATCCCTGTTGACTGGGATAAGATCACCCTGCGGAACTCTATAAAAACCAAAGCTTTTTCTCTCTAGCAAGTTTTTCGTTTTCTTTTTAACCCCCTCCCTCCACAACCAACCCCCCAAAACCCTAGCTAGCTAACTACGCATCGATGCCTGGAAGATTTTTGTCACTTCAGCTTTAACCCCCGACTCAGAAGTTTTGACAGTTGCTCCATTGCTAAGTCAAGCGGAGAGTAGAAGTGAAAACAAGCATATGCTATAAGACAAATACAATTACTTAAACTACAAGCTATTTCAACACACAGAAAGACGAAAAATGACAGGAAAGATTTAAATTAAGCGTTGGCACCGTTCTGCAGTGAGGAGTATGTTATTGCCTGGTTCAGTAAAAATAGTGGCAAGGCTTCGAGACATCACAGATATTACTTGTCTTATACCATACTACCTCGAAGGTGATGACTTTACATTATATCTCAAGATGGCGAAAGATAAACAGTGCTAGAGACGATACGTACTACCCCGAACCCTCCGACCGGGGGTCAAGCCTGATTGCGCTCCCCGGGGAGTCCCTTGTAACGCTCGCTGTTTTATCAATATTTTCCTTTTTCTACTTACAAATTAAACTAAGCACAATTGACTATTAAACGATGAAAAAATTTCACGGATTTTGACGTCATTCTGGGGTCTTTTTTTATTTTTTTCGGCCCAATCTATGAGTTAAATTTGAAAAACACTATATAAAATTCACTATTTTTTGTCCTTATAATGTTGTATGTGTTAAAATGATTCAACTTTTTAACAAGAAAAATCTCAATTTGGTTTTAAAATTTGGATTTATTATGATGTGTCTCTAATTTGTATTTTGATACATTTGCATTTATTTTTCTAGTTAAATTGTTCACCTATATTGCCTATGATCCATTATTGTACATAATTAGGTTATAATAAAATTTATATGCATATTACCTTATGAAAATCGAGAGGTAGTACATTGGGGGGGGATCATAGATTCGGGGGCACGAGACCCTTGCACCGGCCCTAAACAGCGCCATGCGGATGTGATAGACCTGAGAATGAAGGAAGCGTTTACGGAAGACACATTTGTTGGATATGCCAAATTCAGAAGAATGACGTGGTCTGGTGAATCGATTGATGTATATGCCAACAGTATTAGGAGAATAGCGGGGATTTATTAGAAGGGGCCTTGAAAGTGAAAATGGCCCTCATAAATGGGTTTCCAAGTTACATTTTTATAGTTTTGCAGCAGCTGGCTGGGATGAACATTATCGAGATGGGTGGACTAGTAACTCGTAACAGAGTATTGGTCAGGCAGAAGGAACACGTGCAAAGAACGGCAACTTACGTAGAGAGAAACAGGTATGGAATAACACAGATATATTACAAACAGGAACATATACAGAGAAGTAGAAGTGTTAGTACGAACAATCAGGTTTAGTAGAGAGAACAATGTAGTCTCGACCAGTATCACTATTCCAGTGTCTTGCAGTAATTGTCTGAACGCGACTCTATTTCGGACTGCCTCTGACTCGACTCTTGACTCGACTTGAACTACTGACTCGACTTGAACTACAGACACTACTTGAACTACTGACGATATTCAGTCACCCACCCCACGAGGGCATCATGTGGCACAAGGCCGGTTGAACGTGGGATCTCCGAGCCCGTGGGATTTCCGAGCCCGTGGGCTCGGCCAAAAATATGCCCATTGAACCCGTATAAATGGGCTCAGGGCCGGTTTACCTCACCGAAAGTGACTCCGCCCC